ATGTAAGGTACAAGATAACCAATGATAAATGTAACTGTATTGTATATCTAAAATGTAGCGATATTCAGTTTATAATTTTAAATAAATGAATAAATACAAAGTGGCCCAGATTGGAAAGAGCAGAATCTCCTGAGACCGTCGTAAGGATCTTCGGGAGAGCATGGAACACCCCGCAGGGGCCGCAGAACGACGGAAAGACCTATCCCCAGCACAGGGCCAGGGGCTCCCGGTGGGATTCAGCGTCATTCTCAGCCATCCCATCTACACCTAGGCCAGAGGGGTCTGCAAACGTTGTTACAAGTTCCTGCCGTTCCCAGACTGAAACTGAAGGGGATTTTGTCTCCATGGTCCAAGCTAGACTTACTACCCGGAAATTCCCTGCTTGACATTTTCTTTGTTCAGCATGTCCGGGTCTGTCCTGCCTCCCACGCCTGGACATGTCCCAGCCAATCCCACAACTGAGCCCGCCTACTAACGAATACTCAAACGCTGAAACCAATAAATGTATGTCAGTGCCTCGCCTGTAGCCCCACCCCTCCCAAAGAGTGTGCCTTCTTTGTCCAAGCTTTGGGCGGGGCCAGTCTCCCGCGTGCACATGCAGACTGGCCTGCCCGTGTTAAATTTGACTTTCAGTTTGTCTCCGCGGCTCCTGCTGTGCTTTCCATCCTCCCGGACTAGCAATAGCGAGCTAAAACAACTAAATGTTGCCCTTTCAAAACAATCATCAGAATCGGCTCTCTGCTTGAACCCTAGACCTGCTCAACTATGGTTTCTACAAAATAAAGCTCAGATTTTCTATGATACCACACTCTTTAGGGCAATCTGATGGTCAAGTTCAAAAATTACCATCATGCACATTTTCATAAAATGACTGGGTCTTTTTCCCACCTTTCAATTTGGGACACAGTTATTAGTCTAAATGCATCATGATTCTGATGACTCAGCTGTCCTGTACCTATCTTAGTTCCTGCTGTTCCTGTACCTGGGGCTGCATAATTGATAAGGAAAAGTTCATTTGGCTCACAGTCCTGAAGGCAAGCACATCCGGTGAGGGTCTTCTCGCAGGCAGAGGACTCCACAGTCCCGAGGCAGTGCAGGGCATCACCAGGTGAAGGAGGGGACAAAGGGGCTGACCTGCTCTATACCAGCCTGTTCTTGTGACAAAACCTCCTCCTAGGACTGTGCTAATCCTGCCGGGTGAGTTTGGTGGGACAGACCACAGCAGTCAGGGCACGCTAGGCTCACCAAGTGGAAGTAGCCGACCTCACTAGGTAAACCAGAAGGTGCCCGCCTCACTTATCCTGAGGGTTTCTCGATCCCAGCACTTTGCTGTTGAGGGTCAATTGTTCTTGGCTGTGTCCTTCACTGAAGGGTACTTAGCAGCATCCCGGTCTCCCCCACCAGATGCCAACAGAACCGCCTCTGAATCCCCCCGGCTGAGAACTACTGTACCGTCTTTACTCTCTCACAGAAACTCAGAAATCTGATGGCACTAGAAATGTTTAAAACACTGTGTGGTAATGAAGTGTATTTGCGGTGTTAGGCACCGGATGTGGTACCACATGCCTCCGTTTTCTTGTGCGCACAGACTACGCACTCTATACTTCTGTATGATTGCTATAACTGTAGTAAGTGTGCATCCGACTTCAAGCTGTTCTCTATGTGTGAATCACCTGCCGCTCCGCTACCCCATTCCGGTGTCTGCAGCAAAGATGAGGCGAGAGGTGAAGGGAGCTGGTGAGCAAATACCTTAAACCTCATTCGTGTCAGCACCTCATCGGGCAACGGTGCCTGCTCCATCCTCACGTTAGACACGCTATTACTTATAACTAACAGGCTTAAGGAAAGGAAATGTGCTATAAATAGGTTTTAAACTACAATAAAAATACCAGATAACACATAAGAACTTTTTATTGATAAATCATGATTTCCTATGGAGTACATGAGAGTACAGTGAACAACAATGAACAATGTTCCATCATTTAAAATGGCTTCCAAAGTCACCCTGATCTATATATAAAGGTTTCATTCTTGAAAAAATAATGTTTTACATCAATGGTACACTTATATGCCAAGATTCTCAAAACTGGAGACTCATAAAGGCAATTTTATAAAGACTCCTGTGTACAAAAGAGACACCACCACATCAGCTGCTCAGCACATAAAGGCTTGAAGGACCTAATCATTAAGCTACATTTTACTAAAGCTACTAAAGATATCTCTTTTTTTTCCAGTACCGGAGATTGAACCCAGGGCCTTCACACTGAGCTACATCTCAGCCCTTTTTTAATTTTTTATTTTAAGACAGGGTCTCACTAAATTGCTATGCTGCCCAAGCCGAGCTCTCACTAATCATCCTCCTGCCTCAGCTCTCCAGAGCGCTGGGATTAAGGACACGCATCACCACATCCAGCTTCAAAGATAAATCTTCCAAATCTGTAAGGGCAACGTGGCACTGCCCTCTACCATGAACTCAAAACACTGGGCAGAAGAGCGGTAAATCCTGGCCTCACGGCAACATGAGATAAGATTCTTAAACAGGTAGCAGACACACATCGATACTATGTGTTAAGTGTTCTTCAACGCCAGGAGCTCAGAAATCATCTGGACAATGTATTTCAGAAGGATGTAATGTGGCACTATCTTTTGATAAGGCATATGAACCTAGAAGTGCCTAGAAGTAGTTTCAAAACAAGTCTATTCTCACTAACTGATACTTAATTTTTAAAGTCACATTCACTCCTTAGGTTTCTGTTGTTGTTTTTTTTTTTTAAGAATATAGAATAATGGTCCTCCCTTCAAAGCAATAATAAAAAAAAAAATAACTGCTCCTCAAACTATTCCCAGTCTAACTTAAGATATTTAATATTAACAAATAATTTGAATGAATGACAGGAAAATTTTAAATTCTTAAATGCTATGCCTTACCAAAATTTGAAAACAAAGGAAAATGAGGAATGCACTCTTCCTATTGTCTAACAAAAGCCCCTACTGAGGATATAAAAGGTTCTGATGCTCACCCAGGACACTTACTGTAAGTGTCTTTCATGTACAACAGGTGAGAAGTGAAGCTCCAGGAATGCGTGATGGTGCCTTGACCCATGACAGCTCCTTGGCAGGTCAAAATAATTACTATCCTTCGGCTGGAGAATCTTGCCTAGGAGGTATTTACAACACATTTTTATAGCTGTGAACAGTCCATAGTTCCAAAGCAATTAGAAAAAAGGAACTCCAGATTATATGCCAGAGGGTTAATAAAATGGCTCTTTTGTTTAAAATGACAAAGAAAACTCAGTTCCAATTTTTGAAAGGTCATGGGACAGCCGGAAATGTCAAATGAAGTAACTGAATGTCAAAAATAAAGATAATTTGGATTATTTTGCCAGAATAGTAAGAATTATTTCACCTAAGCAGAAATGAAGGCTGACTATGGCTTTCAAAACATTACTATACCCAGGTTCAAAAAAGAATAGGCACAGAGTTATCCATACAGTTCTGAAAACACCCACAAGTAGGAGATGGTACTGAACACACAAGTACAAACTTCTAGGTAATAGCTTACATCTGCATCCTGTATGAGCACAGCACTGCCATAGTATAACTAAAATGCTAAACCGCTGGGCGTGGTGGCGCACGCCTATAATCCCAGCACTCAGGAGGCTGAGGCAGGAGGATCTCTGTGAATTCATAACCAGCCTGGGCTACATAGTGAGTTCCAGGTCAGTCTCAACTACAGAGTGAGACCCTGTCTCAAAAAAAAAAACTAAACCAAAGATAGTACTTACAGAACATTTTGAAAAGTGAACAGAACAGAATAAAAGGAAGCATTTCATCAATTTGGCACATTTTCAGGGGCTCTCATTTTTTGAGCACTATAACTAAAGGCAGTAAGATGCTGAATCTAAATATAAATGTATCCATCTGTCCTAGAACTCTTTGGCTCCTAGTTATTCCCAATGCTCAGTCCACAGAACCACTGCTCAGTCAGAAATGGAAATGAGACGTGCCGGTAAACAAAGGTAAAACGATTTTTTTTTTTTTGGTACTGGGAATCGAACTCAGAACCTTGTACTTGCAAGGCAGGCATAGATAAAGCCCCAGCCCAAATGTTTTTTATATTGTTATTCATAGCACATGAAGAAAATAATCTACACTATTAATTTTTGCTCCTACACGTACTGTTTCTCCGCCTGCCTGTGATCTTTCAATCACTTCTGGGAGTGGAACAAGTTCTCTGAGAAACAGAGAGGAGGCAGGGAGAGGCTGAGACATTGCCACAGCCCCGGGCACCGAGAGGTGGGCTGACTAATCCTCTCCTGCCACTGCTGCCTCCTCCTCACTTTTCATAGATGTCGACTGAAAAGAAATGAGTTCCAAGGGAAACTTTAACGTAAAAATCTGAAGTATTTGACAAAAAAAGTTTCTGAATTCTAGTTTTTATTTGAGGAAGTAGGTCTGAAACACAGACAACCTGTCTTCCAGCAGTCTTTCCACCCTACTGTTTCCCAATAAACAATCAGCACTAAATTTGTTATGAATTATTTACTGCAAAACATAAGACAGTGACAGTCAGTCCAAGGTTCCCTGGGCAGGGGAGAGCAGGGGCAATCTTTGCCAACACACTGCCGATTTCATCAAAAAGTGATTTCCACCTTTGTAGATGTCTCAGAGAATAAAGCCTGAGACCACAGCACAGGGAGGGAAAACATGACAAGTGCTGTTTTCAGAATGAACTGTTTCAGAAGTGAAGCAGATAGTTGTGGTTTATATCTAAGCTCTCCCTCAAAGCCTCGTGTGCTCCTAGGTGGGGCTTTTGCGAGGTGATTGGACCACGGGTGTGTGTATTACTCAGAGCTGGATTAGTCCACCGATGCGTTTCTAACTGGGTATGACATTGGGAGGTGAGGTCTGGTGGAAAGAGCCGTGTCAGTGCGGGCGTACCCTTCCTCCTCCTCTGATCTCCCTGTGCTTCCTGCCAGCCCTGCCATGGACTGTTTCTCCCCTGTGATGTCCCTCTGCCAGGCCAACCTGCCTTGGAGCCAACGGACTGTGGACTGAAGCCTCTACTATGAGCTAAAATATACTCTCCCCCTTTAAGTTATGTGTGTTATATATTTTGTCCCAGCAACAAACAAAAAAAGTAACTAAGACACAGATCAAAAAAAAATTTCTAATTGAAAATAAATACATGAAAATTATATATTTGTTATTTAACCACTGTCTTCATAGACCACTCCCTGAGGATCTGTTTTCTAAATAGAGGATGCAAGTATTGAAATACAGAATGTTGACCATTCCTACCTTGATATCAAAATATCTATAAGCAATATATGAACGCCTACTCCAGTATAATTTCTTGGAAGTCACTAAAATAATAGCATTTTTTAAAATTAATTTTTAAAATATAGTTGTATATTTTACGTTTGATAAGACTTATTTTTAAGTAGCTGAAAATATAGAGCAAACTCTCTGAGGCCCGTGGCAATTATTCTCCCATGTCCACTTGAGACAAAATCCACGGAGTGAAGGAGCAAAATTAAAGCGCTCCCTGGATTTAGTTTTTAGAGTCCTTAAGTTTTTTTAATATCTAAAATTTTTGGACAGGAGGGAAGAAAAAAGAAAGAGATAAAGCAGGAAAAGAAGGGAAGGGGCAAGAAAGGGGTTTTTTTTTTTATTTTCATATCACAGGTAGGTGAATTTTACCCTCCAGAGTACATGGTGACCAATGATCCAGATTCTCAGAATTCAGGAATCTTAAGGATTCGGTTTACACCACGTGTCTGTCACTAGACAGTGGCGGTCTGCTGCTCAGAGCCCTGCACCTAGACGCGTTCTACAGAACCCGGGGCAGGCTCTCCTGTACCTCAGCTCCACCTTCCTTCCCGGAGCACTCGGAGGTCAGTCTGCACAGCACGTCCTTGGACTCCTGGTTCACAGTGTCTCCCGGCCTCAGTCCTCTGGTCCGAGTCCCACAAGGCACAGGTGGGCAGTGCTCTCTGACTCACCCCCCAGAAATATGCCTGGGGTGAGGGCTGAGCGCACCCAGTACCCTCCCCACCCTCCGAGCAGAGGAGGACAGGTGGTCCCCCATTCTCTCCAGGAGAAAAAGAGCGAGCCGGTAAGGGCAGGGGCAGGTGATCTGACTGGGAGTGGGAAGAGGCCTCTAACTTTTTAAAATTCATGGTCTACGTTCTAAAGGAAAGAAGCAATGTCCAATTCAGAAAGGTACACTGAGACCACGGAGTGTGGGGTGGGCATTGGGGTAGGCCAGAGGTGGGAGGGGAAATGCCTAACAACCTGGCACTGTGTCTTCTACAAAGTAAAAAGAATAAAATGCAGTTTTTAGTCTGGAGAAAACAGACACTTCCCAAAAAGACCTTTAAACGTTTTCCAATAGGGGAAAGAAAAATACACCACTGCCGTCATTTTGATCTTCCACAAAAAGGCCAGGTGAAGAAATCTACACAACTCTACATCCCAGGTGGGACCTGCTGTAGACCATCCCCGGCCCCACGGAAGGAAAACATTGTTTTTCAAAATAGCCAGAGGTGATACTCACTTATGAAAACAAAGCAATCACGTGTGATTTGTGGAAATGCTAGTTTTACAAAAAGTCCTTTACAAAATAAGAAATCACAGCCCATGTTGCAAGAAGCACAGAAGCACGAGAGAGAAAATGAACCGGACCGAAGGACGCAGAAGGGAGCCGGCAGCTTCGTCCTTGCAAAGGCAGCGGTCCCGGACGTCTCCGCAAAGATCGCAGGAGGACAACTTCACGCGAGAGTTGTAACTTCTCACCACCTGCCGCCCTGTGCAGAGAGGCAGACTTCGGTTTACACATGGCCTGTGTTTCGAGACATCGAATTTGCCAAAACATAAGAGCATTTCGATGCGCTTTTATGAGTTCTTCATTCTCCACATTATTTTATTTTTTCTTTACAAGAAACAATTGAGATGTTCGAGAGTGGCCCAGAGTGCAAATCAAATCCAAGAGAGAAACAATGCGTTCCGTCCAACCCATCTCCCACCAGCTGTTGGCCGGCATTAGAGAGACCACATGGCCTGCAGCTGCAAGCACTTTAATCTCTGACTGGAAGAGGAAAAATGCTAAACTGGAGATTGTCTGACAGCAGAAAGAGTTTATTTTAGGATGACATTTTGTATGCATTCAAATAAAATTCTAATCATAATTACAGAAAAGAGGGGCCGGAGATTTAGGCAGTGGTGCCACCTGCCTTGCAAGCACAAGTCCTGAGTTCGATCCCAGTACCAAACATAAATAAATAAAATTACAGAAAAGAGCTATTAGCTCTGGGCTTTACTAAAAAATATATAATCATGAAAGAAAATCTGTCCATCCAATGTCTTATGTCGATGTTTAAAACACTGAGCACAGACTGCCTAAAAACTATTCATTCTAGGTGCGATTACAGCACAAGCTAATATTTTTGAAACTGCATTAAGTGTCTGTAGCACCATAAGAAACTACAAAATAAAAATAGTTCTTTAGCTTGCAATTCTTAAAAAGCACATTCTATTTCCAAATTTCTTAATGACTTGTCAGATTGTTTTGTACATCACAAATGTTTTTAGAATTTTTTAAATGAGTTGGAAGGTGTTGATTATTATTGTTCCCATTATTCTATTTTTAAATGGTTCCTTCATAAATAATCTGTTTTTCAAAAAAGCATTACAAAGACTGAATCTTTTTTGTTTCTTAAATGTTTAAAATGTTCTCCATGCAAAATAAATTACCTAATTAAATAAAATTTTAAAATGTTAATGTTCTGCATGAGTCTAAAAAACACCATTTGGGAAATTTCGTGCACCTAAAAATCACCGTTTGAAGGATTCTACATCTAGATTAAATAACAAAGCACTGTCACAGAGTCTCCACAGTATATCCAATTATCCAACAGGAGAAAAGTGCTCGTCTATCGCCCCAAAACACTCCCCAAGAACCTGGCTGTGTCCTCCTCCTCAATTGCAGCACGAGGCAAAGACGGCAGAAAGAGAAAGGGCGCCCTGCTGTGGTATTTCCTGAATACTTACCAAGCCCTGCCAGCCCCAGTGCACAAGCTCACCTTGTTTTCAGGTGTAATAATCGTCTGCAAGTGTCTCCCCCATGAGCGCATTCTGATGATTCTGAGCTAGCTAAGCGCACATTCGGGTCAGACCTCCTACCACGAGGTTCCGCAGCGCAGAGCTCACACACTAAAGGTCCCTCTCTGACTCAGTGTGGCCCTCCACACCAGCTCACTACTCTGACACCCTAAATTCTGAGCGTTTCGTAAAATTGAAAGTTACCGGTCAAATCAAAAAGCTTAAGTTGTCTCCCAAGGAGACTGTATTTTTCTTGATTCACTAAAATAAAACCTGTTATAATGTGTTTTGGCAAAACACCAGACTCCTGCAATGCAGGAGCAGCCGACCCAGCTGTGACCCGTCTACACTGTGGTGCTGTGACCCATCTACACTGCGGTGCTGCTCAGTTCCCTCCTGCACAGTTCCCACTCAGCAGCAGGAGCCAGGCGAAAACAACTGGATTCTCTGTGCCAACTTTTCTTGTAAAAATTGCAAGTAAAAACCTAAAACACCGTGAGAAAACTGTAACTTTTTATATGCAGTTACCACGTGAGCCTTTAAATGATCCAGTCTTCACTGAAACCGAAAACTAACATCCTGCATCTCCACCTCCCACGCTTTCCCCACCAGCCGCCCCACAAAGCAAATCCAAACCCCAAATGAAATTCAATTAAAAAATAATAATAATAATCCAATGGATGGATCAGTGGATGAACAACAGATGGATGCCTGGCTGAACTTCTGAAGGATCAGGAACTCCAGACCGCACTTACGTGGTTCGTAATAATCCACTATGGATACCGAAGCGTCTTGGGTATTTGAAACTTTAAAGTTTCTCACAGCAGGAATATCAACACAAAACTGTGTTCCATTTACCTTGAAAAAATACAGAAGATTCTTAAGGAGTTGGCACACCAGGTGTTCTTAATAAAAGAAAGACATTTCCTTTTCTTACTATGTTAGGAAACAAAAACGAACATTTAGGAAGAACTTCTACGTGCCAGGAACTGCGGTATTTTCTCCAAATTATCTAATTTTATCCTGCCGAAACAACCCCTACGAGACAGGGGTTGCTCTTAGTTCCATTTTGCTAAAAAGGAAACCTGAAAGTCAGAGTTGTTAAATAAATGACAAGCCCAAGGGTGCTAAGACACAGGAGCTCACCCAGGTCCTGTCTCAGCCATGGTCCTGCCTCCACCTCTAGCCGCTGGCGATGACTCATGGGAGCCACCGTAACCCAAAAAGGAGGTGGCCCTGAATTGGGGATGCACCCTAACAGATACAGGGCACGAAAGGCCAGCTTCCCCGCCTCCCTGGGACAGCTTATGTTAGTTTGAAAATAGGACCAGTTAAGAAATCAAAAATTTACAAATTCAAATATTCATTACTTGCCAACAGCAGCATATGAAAAGTCACACTAATTAATCAGAAGTCAGTGGACACTCAAAATAATCATTAACAAGAACAATCCGATACAAGACAAACTCCAAAGGCAATTACATTACTAAATAAAAACCTTAAATTTGTTTTTCAAATTCCAAATCAAGCCCATGGCTTTCTAGCAGTATTTAATTTAAGAAAATTCTTGAACAGCACAAGAATTATAAGATTGAATTCGTTTTAATAGGGCTTTAACTGGAATGGGTTTTTGAAGTGCTAAAACAAGAACACTCAGGGCCTAGCTTTTTGAAGGTAAAAATTTGGCAATACATTTATGACTCAATTTTAGCAAACCTGGAATAAGAAACACATGTGTCCTCCTCACGTGCCATGAAATCCTAAAAGCACTTGAAATTCAACTTCAACTCAGCCTAAGAGTTTTTAGACAGATGCTAGAAGAAAACAATAAACTTACATGCAAGCAGGTTTGGGATATAACAAGCAGAGTCTGCAATGCAATTCTTCACTGACCTTTCCCTGGCATATTTTAGGCAACAATTCTTATATCACTAGCAATACAGTGGATCCTTAACTTACAAACTCAATTCATTCCCAAGGGCAGCTGTAACCCAAGTTGGTCAGCTGAAGGCTCAGGCTCCTCTACACAGCCTTCAAAGTCTCTCTCCTGTATAACTTTAGCCCACACTCTCTTCCAGGCAGATCTCAGGGTCCTTAGACATTGGCCCAGGATTTCTCCATTAACCCCGCACAGGAAAGGCTGGTGTCATGTTCCTTCCAGAACTCTGTAAGGGTTAAATCTGTATCTGAGACCACCTGCAAGCACAGGTGGCAGGCATTCGGGTTGTAACTGAAGATTTTGTTTAAATTAAAACTAAAATTTTGGTCATAACCCAAGTAGTTTGTATGTCTGGCCAGTTGTAACTCAAGGGTCCACTGTGTGTCAGAAATGTGTCAGGTACATGAAAGTTACATAATAATTGTTTATCAAGACCAAGCATCTAAAAATATTCTTCTATGATTTAAACACATAACTTTCATGGCAGGAATATTAACAACTTGAAGATATGTTAAAACCTTCATGAAAGCATTTCAAAGCAAGTCATGAAAGCTTTCATCTTCAGCATTTAAGCAAGTATGTTCAGCAATTTCCTGAGAGAGAAGGGTTTTCCAGTTGATGTGGACTGAACTTCTGAAATTATGAAATGACAGTCACTTTATATTTTATATCTAGTATGAAGCAAGGGCTTAGTTATCAACACTTTCCTCTGACTCATTATCAACAGTAACTCTCTAAACCAGCTTTACAGTGATGTCATTTTAGTGGAGACAAGCACAGGTGCCGTGGTAAAATCACTGAGGGACACGAAGACCTGATACAACAATGACTGAAAGAAAACATGGAAAGTAAGCCAGGCTTCTGAACAGTCAGCAGTGGCCTCATGGGCTTCCTTTTACTACTCACAGAATCTAAGTAGAGGTTCAGTTTCCCATGACCGTGCTCCACTTTCCTCACCGTCTCGCTCAGCGGGATGGCACCTGACGGAACTGCAAAGCCGCTGAGCAGGTTAACTTCCATGAGAGCCATGCCGCTTCTGTCCGGGCCCAAAAACCTACACCAAAGAGAAGAGGAAGGGAAACAGCCTTTAGGAAAAACCTAAATCTTCAACCTAAAAATCTTAACCTAAAAATTAAAACTGCTATCTGGGCGTGGTGGCGCACGCCTGTAATCCCAGCACTTGGGAGGCTGAGACAGAAGGATCACTGTGAGTTCGAGACCAGCCTGGGCTACATAGTGAGTTCCAGGTCAGTCTCGACTACATCGTGAGACCCTGTCTCAAAAAAAAAAAAAAATTAAAACTGCTAAATGTTATCCCAAATATTGCTTGAGTTCAAATAAAATTCACTATAGAAAATTTGATGACAGGCTCTCCGCTTCCCGCATATGTTGTAGTCTTATTACTGGCAACCGAATGAGGAGGGACAATGTAGCGATGGGCTTGTTGGACAGAGGGGATGAAAAGCCCACGATGAACATTTTTTTTCTGGTTCATTTTCTTGCTTGTTTGCTTGTTTCCCAGTACTGGGGATCGAACTCAGGACCATGCAGTTCAGAGGCGGGCCACAAGGTAACAGACTCGTGCTCCCAAGTCGTGACAGGTACAGTGCCCACCCTTGCCGCAGACTGAGCAGTGTTGTGCAGCGGTAATTCCAAAGCAAACTGCCTTTTTCGTTTTCTCAAAAGCTGACAGCACCAAATCTGCCCAGCTAAACGCTAGAACCTGGAAACAAGGCATCACCTGACCATTTAGAGAGAGGCCTGGCCAAGTGGTCAGCAACCCCTTCTCCACCCAGTTTTAGGGAAAAAAGACTACGCATGAGAGTGTCCCCTCTGTTCTCCCGCATGTGTGGAACACGTCTTGTGTCTTCCTCGGCTGCTTGAGACAACCGGAGGCTTCTTTCACCATGCTGCGTACGGTGCAGGCATCAGAGGACCTGGGCACTACTTTGTCTCCCTGAAAATAAATATTTTCCTCAAACGAATGAGCGGCGAAGCCTAGTGTGGCTACAGCAAGAAATGTGCTTCCAACATAAAAGTCTTGTGGTGTCATTAAGTTACTTCCTGTTGCCCTTTTAGATGGCCAAACAAGAGGGAGGTTAAAAAATCTTGCTTTTTAGAGTAGTAAACAAATGCCTGTCAAACATGACTGACTGAAGAGCCACGAGGTGCAACCGCTGACTTCAGCAGCTCAGCGATCCAGAGCAACGGAAACCCTCTGCTGGGTGACCTGCTTAGCTGCACATGAGATCAGCCCATCTACTTAAAGAGCAAACAGTACAATGCACATGGTCGTATGAATGTCAGCAAGGGTCCTGGTTGACCAGAAGCACTCAAAAGACCAGTGTTCCCCTAGACATTTCTTTAGTTCTGACTCCAAAGCTGGTTACAGTCGGGAACCTGCATCATCGAGGAGCCCCGCAACAAGGACCAGGCCCCAGCATGGCCTGAACCTGGCCCCTTCTCATCTTCCCCAGCTGTTTCTTCATGTGACCTCCTGAAAAGTAAAATTCGCCTTCTGGTAGCTCCATGATGCTCTTCTTTTCTGATCTTTTCAAACTCAGAATTTTTTACTTGCTTGGAGGATTTTTTTCAAATTAACTTCTGCCTCCCACTCCAAACTGTGAATTCCATGAAGGCAGGCCCGTGTGGTTTTTGGCTTGCCCTTTTGGTCCACGCCTAAAACAATGCTGGCACACAGGGAGGAGGACGAGGCGACATGTCCAGTGTAAGTGGTGAATGAATGAGAAAGGCAGGCATAATAAGCACTTACTCTACAGATCTACCGTGAAGCCTAACAGAGGTGCGTGGGAAGAGCTTTGTACAGTGCCCGGCATGTAAAGTGGTGACAAATGTAGGTTACTGCCGCTGACGACAATGAACTGATAGTTATTCTGCAACTTTAGTAAAGTATAATAGGAGTCCTACTTCCTTCTCAGCAGAAAAGGAAGCCGCCGCAGAAATGCTGATATCTCCCTGATGCCCAAGTGCCCAAGGAGGTGAGGAACGGGGCAGACGTGGGTGACACTTTGTTCTAAAGTCATGAACAGAAAGGTCCAAAGGCAGGATGGACGGTGACAATAATGGAGGAAACTGGGTTCCAGCCCGGCTAAGAGCCTGGTGTCTGGAGGAACAGCAAAAATACCTTCAAATTTGAGGACCACATCAGTGATCGAAGCCAACAAGGAGCTACATGCAAGCATGATGCAGCGGGGTGTTTGGGAGGAGCAGACAGCAGCTCCTCGGGGTCTGAGCCTCTCACTGCACCCTTGAGCTCCACACCACACGATGCAGGTGTGAGACGACAGGCGAACACGGAGGAAAGGATGAAGCATCCCAAGGGTCCTAGAACTTTCTCAAAGCCTTGTTCTCAAACGTGCATGTGCATTAAAAAGCATGCAAAAGCTGGCTCAGGCAACTTCACAGCCGTCCTGTGAAGTCACAGATCTGACAAGCAGTCTATTTTCCTTAAGAGCCACAGATGACTTGGAAAGAGACCAATTTAAGAATTGCCTTGCTGGGCGTGGTGGTGCACGCCTGTAATCCCAGCACTCGGGAGTCTGAGGCAGGAGGATCGCTGTGAGTTCCAGACCAGCCTGGGCTACATAGTGAGTTCCAGGTCAGCCTCTGCTACGTAAGGAAACCCGATCTCAACAAAATAAAATTTAGAGTCTGGGCCCTGATCCACCGCGGGAAGGAGAACCACGCCTGGTCCCGACCCAGCCGCCATCACTCAAGCGCCGGGAAGGTAGCCGAACCCCCATTGCCCCACCCACCCAC